TACAATGGAATGGTTTAAAACAAAACATATTCATGAGTTATGGACCAGTCAAAGTCCAGATCTAAACCCAGATCTGAAAACTGCTGTTCACAAATGCTCTCCATCTAATCTGACTGAGCTTCAGCTGTTTTGAAAAGTAGAATGTGCAAAAAATTCAGTCACTAGATGTTCAAAGCTGCTGAAGACATTACCCTAAAAATTTGCAGCTGTAATTGTAGCATAAGGCAAAAAGAAAACATTAAGTAGGTCCTCTGGGCGGGTTCTTCTTTAATTAAATGTTTTGTCTCTCCTCCAAGAGACTTCTTCAGTCTGAGGAGTTTCAGGTGGACTCAGACTGAAGAAGTGTCTTGGAGGAGAGACAAAACATTTAATTAAAGAAGAACCTGCCCAGAGGACCTACTTAATGTTTTCTTTTTGATTTTTCTACCTGGATTACTGAGATGCATCAGGACGTAGCAGGTGGTGGTTCCACAATTTATTGGTTCAGGAGGTCTGAATACTTTTGCACACCACACAGTTTATTTGTAAAAAATGTTTTGAATCATGTATAATTTTCTTTCAACTTCACAATTGTACACCACTTTGTGTTGGTATTTCACATTAAATTCCAATGAAATAAATTTATGCGTGTGGTTTTAATATGACAAAAATGGAAAAGTTTAAAGGGGTATGAATACTTATGCAAGCCATTGTTTAATAAATTTTACCTTCAAGCCTGCACTCAAGAGGACGTGCCCATTCAACATTGGGTCTCTTGTAGAACGAGATGAGGGCCACGTCCTGTTCAGCCACACTTCGTCTTATATCCATTGTGAGGATTAATGGGTTCTCTAGTTCATGCAAATGCAGAGCATTCTTTGCACATTCCGATATGGCCTTTGAAGAGTCTGAGACAGTTAACCAGCCTAAAAAAACAATACAAGCAATGAGAACAGGACAAGGAGAAAGAAGACAAGAACACAAACTAAACCAACTCTGGATATTAAGTACTATACAAGATGATAAGTCCAATGAATGGCTTTAATTGTGTGACTTGACATTTCACTAAGATTATCATTTACCAATCAACACTTTCCTTGCATAACCTGTAACTAAAACATTGACCTACCATCCCTGACTGCACAAGAANCAAAAAATATTCTTTAAAAGTTTTTGTAAGATCATGTTTCTGATATTTCAATTGATCAACCTGCAAGGTATTTTGTTAATTGCAAATGTTTTACCTTAAACAATATTTTTTTCTCCAAAATCACTTTGTGACTTAACCCTTTGTTTCATGTGATAGTTCACATATACACAGAAGAAAGTCTATACCTAACTACATATTTCATTTGATATTATTTCAGGATAGAGCGATTATGGAGAGACCTCTGGGTGGCCGTTACATGCATTTACTACGATGTTCTACACAGCCTTGAAG